AACTCAGGTGAAGATGTTGGCACTGGCGAGGGAAGCGAGTATAGAAGACTGTAGATCCACTTTTCAGGAAAATGCACACCACAGCACTCAGCAGACTCCCAATGATATTCTTCACCATCAATTGTTAGCAGGCTGCCGTCATCAAAAGGCCACTGGGAAGTATTCCTCACAAAACATGCAAAACAAACAGACAGCGCCTTGGCCTCGTGTAATACAGTTTATTAATCAATGAACATACAAGCTGACATAAAATACTACTCACATGGTAATCACTGAATGAATGGTACAAGGCAGACCCCACACAAAGCTGCCTTGCTAGCTGACGCGGGTGGAGCTCACAACATTGTGTGCAACTATCCTTGTGGGTTGATGATGTGCCCACGTATATCGCCGATATTTGGCGGGCGATTTTAATGTTGGCAATGTATGGTGCTGTATATCGAACAGTGGGAGAGTGATCCAGCTAACTATTTAGCTAACCATCCCTCCTCTGCATTAGAACCAGCACTTTCTACTGCTACCATACTTTGTGCATTTCCCACTAACTGATGGTGATCAGCTGCATCCGATTAGGTGAGTTTGGTTTGGGGGTCACATGGTGCTCACCCAGTCTATATATTTGTATTTCATTTTACTTTTGCTAGCTCTGAGGAAGGGGGTATATTCCCCGAAATGCGTCAGCTAGCAAGGCAGCTTTGTGTGGGGTCTGCCTACCATTCATTCAGTGATTACCATGTGAGTAGTATTTTATGTCAGCTTGTATGTTCATTGATTAATAAACTGTATTTCATGAGGACAAGGCACTGTCTGTTTGTTTTGCATGTAGATCCACTTTAACTGCCCTTTATAAGGAATATAAACTCTTATACGTCTCTGTTAACTCACCAGAGTCATCCTCAAAGTAAGTAAAAGCTAAAATGAGGAGGAGGTGTACATCTTTCACAATGAAGTAACCACAATGACAGACTATCCAGATTTCTGCAAACCTGATCATGGCTGGTTTCCTGTAAAGTCTAAGGACAACTTATATTTGATGCAGTTATAACAGTCTTTCTGAGTCAAGCATGCTAGAGGAATTCTCATAGATTTTTAAAAGAACAAACTAACTTAGACAAGTGTAATACATACTCATTACAACATCGTCCTATATCAAGGTTTGAGCTCGACTGTTCACAGTGCAGACTTCCAAGCAGTAAGGCTAGAGAGTACTGTATATTTTTACGAGTGCAATTTATAGCACGCTATTAAATTATCATCAATGGTTGACCCTGCCTTTTGGTACCTGCAGTGATGATATAACATAATAAAGCTGCAGTTTAAAAAGTGTTTTATGCTGAGCTTCCAGAACATGTAATAGCAGCCTGTCATCTACCTCTAACAGTACAATTATAGGGAGAAGCATGCTGACTTACTCCCTCTAGTTATGTATGACCACAGCTGATATTAGGTTTTGCACTTGTCACATAACAGAGCAAATGTGACATCAGGATACTACAGACATGACACCAGGTCATACAACATCAATAGCCCTCATATTTTCATCTCCTGGAAGCAGCTTCATTTATTTGCTTTTTTTTTTTTTAAACAATTTTATACAGCGCACTGCAGAATCTCACCAGCTATAGAGGACTACAAATCCCAGCAATAATACATTCTATACAGTGCAATGCAGAATAACCCCAGCTACAGAGGACTACAAATCACAGCAATAGTATATTATAGTATAATGTACTATTGCTACATTCCTCTATAGCTGCTGGTATTCTGCACTGCGCCGCTGTATAATGTACTATATTGCACACCACACTCCACACCATACTTCCACCGCGCCAAGCTTGCTCCCGTGATGGACTACAATCTCAATAGAAACTAGTAGTCCATCACTGGAGCCCCTTTTTTTTTTATCCGATTAGTCGATTAATCGAACTTAATAATCGGCTAACTAATCGATTATGAAAATAATCGTTAGCTGCAGCCCTAAACAATTTCATGGTTTCACACTTTAAATGCTCCAAGCCTGTCAACCTGAAATGTTCTGTCAATCCTATTACAGGCTGGACATGCTCACAAGCAGAAACAAATTACCATTTTTAAACGGAGCTTTTCAGATATAGCTGTTTGCATTATCATTACAAAAGCAAGAGCAAATTAAACAGTATTTCGGCAGAATCCTTCTAGCATTTTTTTGCTGTACAATGTATACACCAAGCAAATAATTAAAAGGAATAAAAGAAAATGGACATGATAACCTTTAAAAAGCACAACAAAAGGAAGAGATAGCAAGAAAGAGTAAGCCTACTAATAATGAAAAAAAAATATGTTTATTTAGACATCCTTGAATACACCCCCCCCTCCGATTTCCCTAAGCTATATTTTATGTTTTTTTCCCCCCTTTTTCTTCCAGACAAGTCACATGACACTCAGTGTTCTTTTGCCCTTCGGACCTTCTTTGGTGGGAGGCCCTCAATGATGCAGAGAGCAGCTTTGCTGTGATTTTGGCAGTACTACTCTCTACGTTATCTTCTATGGAGTATCTTCAAAGTCTATGAGACCCAGACTTTGACTTTTTTGGGGCACAGCTTCCAGAGTTCAGATCATCTTTAAAAACACAATAATAGTATTAAAAAGATCAAGCTGATCAAGTATATTAAAAGCCCATAAAAATAATTGAATATATTGTAGTGTACCAGTCTGTAAATATGGTGGCTGCATTACTATTCTACTCTTCATGCTTTTTTGCTTTACTTTCACCTACAACTAACACAATTCCTGTTGCTCTGTGGCTACGCATACTCCTCCATTGTATCTATGGAAGGAGTCATTGTTGTCAACCAGGCTAGACTTCAGAGATTAATAAATAGTTTATGGAAGAAAGATAAGGGTTTTTTTTTTCAGTTTAGCTCACAAAGTTTTAAGGATTCTGCATTTCTGGCAAAATTAACATTTCTTTCCTGTATTTGCTGAAATTATTCTTAGCCTAAAAAAACCCCAAAACATTTGAAGCCACCATGAAGGTAAGATGCAATAAATTTTTTTGTGTGTGTGTTAGTTATCCTTTAACATTTTCTTTTATCTCTAAAAGTATAGTCTTACATACTAAAAGCTTTATTTCCCATGTGATCAGTCAGAAGCTAGAGATGTATTTTTTTTAAAAGGTGTAAAAACCTGTGCGATAATCTTTGTGAATGGACTTTTACATAAAAAACAACTGCAGAATTTGATGCCGCTGTGTGCTGCGGTGCCTTACGTTGCAAATAAGTACGGATACAATTTAAGTACACTCTGGTGCGTGGGTTGCTCTTAACGTAAAGCACGTTGATGCAGCACACCGGAGAGATGTAAGACCAGTCTTAATGTCCATAGCCTTGGCACAGGTTGCCAAAATTGGATTGACCTATTTAAATTACATTGCAATGCAATGTAAAATGACATACCTCTTACTTTTTCTGATAATAAATAGGCAAGGCCTACGTGTCATCTGTGACAAAAATGCGATGCCTTAGAGAAAAATATTTCAGAATTTTTGCTTTAAAGCCACACTCTGGGCATAATGATAATTTATGCCACACTGGGTGTGTAAATTATTATTATTATAAAGCTGGGCGTTATGTGCAGAGGTGGCTGCAAAATAGAAAAATCTTTCCTTGTGGCATGCCCTCTCCCACACAGAATGCCCAGCTTCCGGGCACTGAAGAGAGGGAACAAGACATTCTGTAAAATTGATGGAGCGATGATGTCACATCCCAGCCCCTTCCTTTCCTCCAATCACAGAATGTCTTGTATTCTTTAAAAGAAATTCAAGGCATTTTGTGAATGGGGGATAGTGAAAAGGGGCAGTTGAAGCGATCAGAGCACTGTACAGCTTGGGTCGCATTTCTCCCGGTTTTCAGCGCCTGAAAGCTGGATGTTCTGTGTGGGGGACAGCGTGCTGCAAGGTAAGATTTAAATACTTTGCAGTCGCTGTCTGGACAAAACACACAACTTTTTAATGATAATTTACAAACCCGGTGTATATATATATATATATATAAATAAATAAATAAATATATATAACATACACACACATATATACACAGTATATCCTGTCCTGGTTGTAAGTGGTTAAAACCAAGATCATGGCTGCTGCGGCAAATCAAACTAAAAATAAATATGTATTTCAATGTTGATTTCCATAAGTTCTATATCACTCCTAATACCCGTATCGATCTAGAAGTTTGCGAACTTACTTATTGATGATGCCCATAGGATGTACTTCCTCAATGCACTTCACTCAGCCCTGGGAATATGCACTTCCTTGTGTCACAACCCACAGAGCCTGGCTTCTGAACTACAACTTAACGTCTGAACAATGTAACATTATCATTGCTTGCTGGAAGCAATGCATAATGGGATATGTGGTCTTGAGAGATTGAGATTGCATCACATCAAGCAGCAGGGAAAGAGATGCAAAGCATACTGGGAATCCAGGAAGTTGTTGAAAGTGATGGGCAGACAGAAGGCAGCACTCACTACATAAGAAGGTTTTTTTTTTAAAGTAAGCTTTGACTGCATTATCAAAAACTATAGTATGTATTCCTATTACAGTGCTGATATTATAACAGAATAGTATACGCTAGGCCTCTAAACCTTCTCTAACCTTATTTCAAGTGAAATATTAAAGAGTGAAATAAAGCAGTTTAACCCCGCTAATGTCACAGATGTGACCACAACATCGTAACAATGATATGTACCGACCGCCGGATTTAGTGGAGATTGATGAACATAATTATGATCACAAATGGCACCTGTTCAGTTGCTTTTCTATGTCACAGAGACATAAATCTTTAGTCAGGTTTAAGTTAATAATAAAGCTGTGAATTTCTCTGTGATAATAGTTTGTGCACTGTTTCACTTACATGTAGGAACATAAGAATAATTTATGAGCATGAAGAATATGCGCATCAACAAAACCCAACTATATCAGTAATATAAATGGTCTGACAAACTGTCAGTTTACTTACTTCTCATTCTCTTTTACTATGCTTTCTAGCTTTAATCTCATTTCACCCATTTGTGCCTATAGAAAAAGGAAAAACAAATATTACATGTAAATAACGATAGAGATGCCAACCTACTAGATGTTTATCGTCTGAACTCTCTGTGATGGCAGCAGTTGTTTCTCTGATCACAGCACTAAAGTTTTAGGTAGACTTGTCAATTCCCAGTTATGCTGGAAGCACTTTTGTAGCTCCGTACGTCCTTGGCAGCGAAAGGGTTAAAAAGACACTCCATGGTAGGGTGTTTTTTTGTTTGTTTTGAGATTAAAAAGGTAAAAAAAGGAATTTATCTTTCTTCAAAAAGCAGATATTTTTTGCATACAAATGGAGATGAGTGGAGAGATGATGGAGGGAGATGAGTGGAGAGATGATGGAGGGAGATGAGTGGGTGGAGATGGGGGGGGGGAGGGGGGGGGCTGCAGGAAAAGGGGCCCTTCAATTTTCATGCAAGGTCCGCTTTTAATTTAAACTAATATATGTCAATAGATGCTTTTGGTGTAAATACTATACCAAACATATGTAACTATGCAAATCAATTTTACTATTACATGAACTGTCCAGATTTCACCCAAACGCTTTCACCCAAAGAGGGAAAGGACAGTGACCTATTCACAGGGAAAATTTTCAATAGCGCTGCCCAAAAAACGATTCCCTAAATCGCATACTGTATGTCAATTACAAGGCCAGCGGGGCCAGAAACGGCCCGCCACAAGATTTGCTTAGGCCGCCAGTCCCGGTGTGTGTACCGGCAAACAGGGTTCATTTTTTTTTTTTTATTACTGCCCTCTGAGGACCCCCCACACCTCCACGTTTCTCCTCGCCACCTTCCTCCTGGGCCGCAGGTTTCTTATCGCCAGTTCATTCCTCCGCGCCTCTGCCTCTGGTCTCAGCAGCTTCTGTTAAGTCCCACTGTATGTATCTGGGATTAACTGTGTGTGAGGGCACTACAAGTGTTAGCAGTCCCCGTCCCTTTAATGTGCCCTCACACACAGGAGGGTTATGTTAAGGGCAGGGACTGCTGACACTTGTAATGCCCTCATTATATTATATATAATATATATTATATACTCAATATCATTATATGACAGTCCTGGCGTCCTGTGTGTGAAGGCATTACAAGTGTCAGCAGGCTCTGTCCATTATATGACAATCCTGACGTCCTGTGTATGACAGGGCATTTAATGGACAGGGACTGCTGACACTTGTAGCGCCCTCACACACACACAAGACAAGGACTGTCATATAATGATTAGTCTGCCCAAGCTTTGTACCGCAGCAAGCAGCAGGGTTCATTTTTTTTTTCTTCTTTATGTCTGGACCCTGATTTTGTTCACAACCCTAGGCATCCCCCTTAGTAAGTTTGGATTTGACACCTAGGACCGAAATGCTTGTTTTATCAAGCCATCTGTTAGCCTTACACTCTGTGATACAGTCCATGAAAATAAAAAATAAAATAAAAAAAATGGTACATAACAGGACAAAAAGGATATTGTTCAACATTCAGGCTGTACAAGTCAGATATACCTAAAGTCACAATAAAACTGATAACAGCTAAGGTTAGATGAAATCATTAGTAATAAACAAAAATGTGTTTTCGTTAAGTTATGAAGTAACAAGGGCGAAAAATACCTGATAAAAACGGAGTTGATCACTCATTTCTTCACTATGTCTGTCATAGTCTCCAATTAGGAAATCCACATTCCTAGACAAAGGAAATTTGCATGTTAAGCATAAATTTAGAAGATGTGTTATAATTTTGAAAGGTCTGTGACTAGACAGGAGATAATTTTTAAAAATCAGCTCTACTAGCAATGCATGTAATCTTCTTCTTTGACCTGGTTCAAACCTCCCATTTTATTTAAAGTGAAACTCAGGAGTTAAATCTTCTAAATTAAATTAAGTACCAGAACTATTAACACAATGATGTCTTATTTGTGTATCACTCAGCTGTAGATCCTCAAATCATCCCTGAATTGTGCCAAACACAGTCCTTCCTTCTGTAGGGTGGCTATGTTTGTGTTCTCTATGGTCCCTGTGTGTGTTGTAAAGTACCCACTGCTCCAGGCTCACTCCCGTGATGGACAACAATCTCAATACAAAGTGAGATTGTAGTCCATCATGGGAGTAAGCTTAGAGTGGACACTACTTAACATTCACAGAGACCATGAGGACCAAACGTCATCAGAAATTCAGAGATAATTTGAGGTTCTACAGCTCAGATTACTGAGTTCATTTTTTTTCTTAACTAGCTGGCGCTTGGAGAGGCAATTCAGCTGTTACTTCCCACGTAACACCCTTTTAAAGAAGCCAGGTATGGAAAAACGTGTTGACGAAACATCAATGTGCCAACTACCACTTTGGTGCCATCTCATCATGACATTGTGGGACTCCAACTGCATTTAGGGCCTGTTCACATGAGATCAGGTCCTGATCAGGTCCTGATCAGCAGACGTGGAGCTGCTGATGCAGTGCGTTTTTGGCCGCGTTTTGATACGTTCCAGCAAAAAAAAAAACAGCTGGAGTGGGGCTGTTAGTATGTTAGCTGCAGCGCAGTGCGTTTTTGACGCGTTTGCGTATCCGGACCGTTTCCGGACCTGACAAAATGTGACATGCAGTATTTTTTCTGTCGTAAGCTGAACGGACTGCGCACGTGAGAACTGGAGCCCATAAAACACATAGGGATACGTTGGGATGCATTTTGAGTGCAGCAGCGTACGGAGCCTTTCAGCACACAAAACGGACGTCGTGTGAACAGGCCCTTAGTGTAAAGAGAATGTTGTGAACAGGGTTGCAACACTGCAAACATCTGCCGACAGTCTAAAAAAAAAAAAAAAAAAAGAAATTGAAGACTGCCTGCAGCTCAAAGAGCTCTATGAAGGACCTTACACCCGAAGCTGGTATCAGATAAGGCACAAAGTCCACATGGTACAACTTAGAGAACATGTGAACAGAAGACCAGGTGGCAGTTTTGCAAATTTGGCAAACAGTTGTCTGGTGCTGAAAAGCCCAAGAGGTATTTACTGCCTCACTGGAATGAGCTCTAATTTAAAAGGGGTGAACCTGATCTTTAAGACTATAAGCTTGAATGATGCTAGAGATGGTGGAACAAGAAGCCAGAGTGTCTGTCCCAAGTCCAAACGGGATGACAAAAACAGGATTACTCTTTCTGAAAGAAGTAGTGGCTGAAAGAAAGACTTGCACAACCCAAACCAAATGGTGCCAGATAGGGAAATGGAAGAACAATGTCCAGATTAAGGTGGGAAGTGGAGATGACCTTGGAAATAAAGGCCGTTCTGGGCCTCAATAATACTTTGTCCTGTTGCAGGACTAAAAAGGGTTCCTTGCAGGGTAAAGCCACCAGCTCAGGCACACTCCTAGCCGAGAGGACACAATAAATACTCTGTGGGTCGTAGTAGAGAGAAGAATGTCTCTGGCAGGTAAAATGCAGACTACCGATATGCCGAAAGAACCAGATTAAAATCCCACATATTCAAAAGGGGATTGGACTGTGGGGACCACATGAGAGACCTTCTGCACATAGGTCTTAATCAGAGAGTGGGAAGCCAATGGTCCCTGAAACACAATAGAAAGGGTAGAGATCTGGCCTTGATGGTACTAAGAGCCAAATGTTGGTGCAGACCCAAATGCAGAAAAAGAGAGGATTTAGCCCGCAAAAAAAATCCTGGGGGTGCAAGCCCTTAGACTTACACCAAACAACGTACACTTTCCATGTTTGACGATGGACCTTGCAAGAAGTGAACATCTTAGAAGGAGAATGGTAAACCGGTCCCTTGATCAACAAATCTGGACGGCCTGGCAGAGCCTACAGCATGTCTGTGCGAAGTCTTACCAGGACTACGTACCACATCTGTTTGCGCCAATAGAGAGCAATGAGGAAGACTGGAATACCTGCCATCTCCATGGGAAGCAGATGAGAGAGAAATTTTAGGAGAGCAAAAGGCATAAATAAGAGAGTGTTCGGATCCCATGGAGAAACTAGCGAAATTCACTGCTTCCGCCAGCGGATCCCTGGACTTGCATACAAACCTGTCCAGTTTACTGTTGAACCTGAAGGTCCACATCCAGCATCCCTAAAATGTTATGCAGGCCCTGGAACACTTGTGGGTGCAGAAACCACTCTCCCGGCTCCAGATGCTGCCTGCTGGGGAAGTCTGCATGCCAACTGTCTACACTGAAAATGTAACATGAAGTCTGCCCAGCTCAGGATCCACTCTACCTCTGTTGCCATAGCGAGACTACATGCTCCTGGTTGATGATACCACTGTAGTGGTATTGTCTGACTGGCTCTGACAAGAAACTACCTCAAAATCAGGCTAACATCAACATAAACATCCTCATGCCAAAGCAGAGGATCAACCAGCTTCTGGATTGAACATGGGCTTGGGACAGGGAAGAGTACAGGATCAGTCCCAGAAAAGTCAAAGCAATGATTTAGAGCCAGCAATGATTTATGGAGGTTAAGTATCCACCAGAACCTCTGAAATGTCTGGACAGTGAGAGAAATGTTGTCCTCCAGAGCCCTCACCAACTGTTCCCACAACAGGAGGTCATCTGAGTATCCTACAATGGGAATACTTTAAGAGTGCAACAGGCTCAACACTGAAGCAGAGAAGACAGGCTAAAGGGAAGGGTCATGAGCTGAGATGGCAAAGGCCCAATAGCAAAACACAGGAAGCATTCATGAGACAAAAAACAAAAGTCAGGAAGTCCTCCTGGTAAAGGAAGCAATGGCAGTTCTGGTTGGTCCCATATGGAATTTCTGGGGACAAATGTAAACATTCAGAGCCTTGAGACTTATGGGACGAATGTCCACTTCAAGTTCGGATACAGTGAACAGGTTGGAGCGTCCTTCACACCACATCCAGATTACCACCAGACCAGACTGTTTCCCGACCCAAAATGCATCCTAATGTATCCCTGTATGCTATTTCTGGCCTCTGTTCCCACCAGCGCAGTCCGTTCCAGACCAGACCAGAAAAATACTGCTTGTCCTATTTTGTGATGGAACACATCAAAAGCATAAAAAAATGCATCAAAAACGTCTGGAACGCACCTGTAAGACAATTTTAAGTTAAAAAAAAACAACCTACATTATTATTATTATTTTTTATTTCAATCGCGGCAAAAAAACTGCAATGCACTATGTTCCAGATCTGGTCCGAAAAATGGTGTGAACCCAGCAGGAAAGTCCAGAAGTCTGGAAAGTATCTAATGGAAATCCATAAGTGACTGAGGGAATATAGAGTTTTGAGGTTAGAAACAGAGGAGGGGACAGGGAATAAAACTTAAGTTTGTAGCCCTGAGACACAACTTCTTGCACCCAAGCATTGGGGATGCAAAACATCCAGGTAGCCGCAAAGGTTAAAAGACGTAACAGTGAGTTTGGCAGCTTTAAAGTGCCGGACACTGTGGTTGGATGGGGAGTCACCCTTGAAAGGAGACGGATGGAGATGACTTAGCAGTCTGCTACTTGAGCTTCTTCTACTGGGGAAGATGAGTGCTTTTGCCAGTTGCATCTTTGATAGCAACCAGAGCTGGTACCAAGAGACAATGTCCCTCAAAGGCCATGTGGATCAACCGCTTCTTACAAGATTAGTGCGCATGTGTACTAAACAGAGACTAATGCAATTCTTGCAGTGGAGCTCCGTAGACCGGCACTTCAGCCACCGAATCAGTAGCATGTAGACAGACAGGAGACCCATCCTGGAGAGTTCTCAGAGGGAGTCTGCTAGGCCATCTATGCAGTTTTGCAAGGCCACAGAAAAGAGCTCTAAATGTTTAAGCGCACTGGGGTCTGTCAAGATGGACCCAGATTTCCTAGCCATGGTCTTTAACTATACAGATAAGGTTTGATACACTGCCATGGTGGCAACAGTATACTGCATAGCAGGGCCTCCAAGAGTGAAAAAGGCCAGAAAGGGGGCCTGTAACATCTTATCCATGTGGTCCTTGAAAACAGGAATATCCTCTTTAGGGACTGTTAATGCTTTGATAAAATAAGAGATGGCTGGATCAACAACAGGGCCAACCCATTTTATTGCTGAGCAAACTATTTAGAAGGAGTAAACCATTTGTTGGGGTTATTCAAGTCACAGTACAACACCGGCTAGAAGAGCGCATGTATAAGGAAAGTTTTGGCAGGTTTGGACATTTTTCCTAGACTAGACTAGTGACCTTTGGCAAGGTCAATGCAGGTGGCTTAAACTATAAACAATCATGCACCACATTCAGAAGGACAGAGATAGTGTCCTTGATCTTGGAAGAGAGAACAGGAGACAGGTACTCTTGCTGGGCTGAATAGACAGAACTGGAAGTGGCACGTTCATCATCATCTTCTTCCTCAGGCAGTGCACAACAGACAGAGGTCAGAGGGAGACTCTGAAGGTAGGAAGGGGCCCACTGATGCCCCCTGTGGTTCCGCCATAACAGCTGTAAATTCCCTCCTAAATAGCGAAGATGGAGGGAGATTTACCTGGAGGGAATTGAGGACACTGGGGCGGGGAATAAAGGGGAGAAGGAGCCCAGCATAGGGCTAGCAGAGCATGTTGTTAGGCCCCAGCAGAACCATCATTGGACTGTGAGGTCCTAGAATGTAAGGTCTACGACTCTGGACCTGTAAAGCACCCTGTGGTATTTACGAATGCTGCACAAAATGCCAAGGAGAGTGCCCCTTACAGGATTCAGCACCCTAAGCACAGGTCAGCCCTGCATCTTGCTTCCAGTGGGGTCCATGTTTAAGAAATAACTCCTTGTGTCCTGTGATGTATGATCTAAAAAATAGGTATTTGAATCACCCTAATCTGTTTGCAACTGAAAGCAATTCAGAATGCCATTGATAGTAGCCTCATAAGACAAGAATTTTAAAGTGAACCTGCTTGGGTAGGTGGGTCAAAAATAATGATTACTGTGAATAGCAGGTACTTCCAAGTGTCTTTATGCTACCCCTGCTTTTCCGTAGAGTCCCTGGATCCCCAAAACCTTGCAACCTAGATTCTGGTCATTGGACCCACTTTACCTACCTAGTATGAAGAAAGAGTGTTTAGCATAAAGCACACCACCATTATGGTGTACTGATCAATTTTTCTTCATATTTTACAAATTTACATAATTTTTCTTCATATTACATAACGTGGCATTGAAATGCCACGTTATATTTTTTTCTCACCCACCCACAAATATGATGTCAGATCGGAAGGCATGTCATTTCTTGAGATGGTCAAAAGACAGCAAGATGCATCTCTTAATTTTACTTACAGAACAACCCCTTCAATTACAAGTACACTTGCTGTTGAAGAGGTGTTGGATTTATGCAGAGGTAATCCATACCACAGTTAACTGGATACTGTTAATAAAATCTGTAATTGTAGATCAGTATCCCAGGAGGGAATTATAGGTTCTATATAGAAGTCTTCTAACAAAGGATTTCCAATTCTCCTTTTCAACTTGGATGCACAATTTTAGATCTTTGGTGATGATATTTCTGATCTGTGAACAAAAACTAGTGAACATTTTTATGACAGCCCTCATACTCACCTTTTCTCACTAAAGCTTGGTTTTACAGTCGCATTATCTCTGAAATGTCCACGAGTCTAACAAAACAAAGAACAAAAACTAGAACACGTATATATGTAATTGTAACTTGCTTCAGGTACATACTGTATATGGGGGTTTAGGGATGCTAAGACTATTGCTGTTCTGGGTAGTAGGTAGCTCAAGATGTAAATGTTTTCATTTTCTTTGCTCCTTAATAGTAATTTCAGTCTGAGCTTGCATGGTTGCTATGTACCCCTGTCCTCATCACCTCCTGTGCCTTCCTATTGGCCAATGAGGTCATCCATCACATTGCTGGCAAAGAAGAAGACACAGGAGGTGGGAAGTGGCATGGTTACATGGTACCCATCTACCCATCTCATCAACCCTTCTCAATACTCAACATAGGCTTTAAAAGATAACTTTACTCATAGCAGAGCTCATTCACATGGGTGCAGAGATCTGTGTATCATAAAAAAATGGCTGGATTTCTGCCCCGGGAGATACACATGTATAAGTCAATAACAGCCTGCTGCTGTATGCTGGTAAACGCTGACGCTGCTGCTAGCGTGTACAACCCTACAGGTTTGGATGTAGGCCCCCTGTACGCAGTCTGCACCCAGGATGTACATTTGAACCCATACGGATGTACACACTCGGAGCAGCTTTCACCAGTGTATAGCTGCAGCCTGTCATTGACTTGTACAGGCAGGCTGCTCGCAACACCTTTGGCTCCTGGGCGCAGAGATTTATTATGGTCACACTTCTGCATCTGTGTGAATAGCCCTTAATTTCCACAATAAACAGGTGGAATTTACATCCAAAAGCAATCCTACACAGGACCAACATACAATAGGATCCACCAAATTATCAATAACTTCCCTGCAACACTTTTTAGAAACTGTCTACAAACTGGCAATGAATGCGCCACACACGTTTGTCATTACGAATGCACTATACCCTATAGACAAAATTTACTAGAGTGCCCCAAAATATTTTCAACAACAATACAAAGAGACCCAGCAATTTATTATTAGGTGTGAAGACTGAAATTCCAGATCAAAGCATGGTACAGCACATTGAGATGACTGCATAAACGTACACAACATCCAGGTGGAGAACTCCTTATTAATTGTTTGTAATGACTGCAAATGTTTACTCTATAATGATCTAATAATGAAACCGCCACCAAGGGAATATGCTTGCTGTATAACTTTTTCTACTAAACTCTACATTTTTGTAACTAAAAATAAGAAATGAGTTACCTTAAATGCATCATATTCAGGATGCGCTTTATCTTCATAATATTTCAGCTGTTCTTTCAATCTTTGGACTGGAAGAAAAGAAATGTTTACTAATTGAGTAATTAGTAAACATGCTATGGTTACTATTACCTATCTGTAAAGTTCTTCTAGCTCATACTTAAGCGGGGTAAAAACAACATTTGTTAAAAGGATATCTAAGACACCGAACAAAAAAAAATTGATCATATTGCAGCTTACTAGTCCTTAGATGCGAGGACTGCATTCGTTTTCTCTTTTTAGGCTACGAACATTTTCAGCAAGTACAATAAATACCTGTTTATCTTGCCTGAAATGTAGTGTCATTGTCACATCCTGTGAGCTGAACTGATAGCACATACAATGTAAACCATTAACCCCTCACTGCCCGTATAATGGAGAAGAAGGGTAAAATACTGCACTTTGGTACAGGAGGTCTGGATGATCTGGAAGTACCCACAGAGAGTCTGCCAGAAATTTGACGACATTCACATGAAATGGTCTTCTGGTACAGCTGGGAGCAAGGAGGATCACTGGAATGCCCTCTGTTTTGATTTTGTAAAGGAGTAGAGGCAAGAGATTCCAAGGGATCTGGCTATACTGATCCCATGGTGTCACTAAGGCATCCACTGCAAAGGCCCAGGGATCCCTGGTCCTAAGGGCAAACATGTCCAATTTGTTAATGCACCAGGATGCCAGGTGGTCTACATCTGGCATCCCCCTTTTGCGACAGAAGGCATGAAACACCTCTAGGTATAGGGACCACTGTCCTGGGTCCTGACATTGACAATTGAAGTTTGCCTGTCAGTTTTCCACACCACGGATGTGTATGGCGAACAGGTCAGGATGTAAAGTTCCATCAGCCAAAAATAGGTCCACTTCGTGTGTCTCCCTGATGGGTAATATAAGCCATGGACATGGTGCCTGCATCCTGGCATCCCGGTCAGGTAACGCTTTAACTAAGGGGTCCAGCATTAATACGACAACCAGATTGCACTGAGCTCCAGGATGGGATTCTGTGGACAACCAGGACCCTTGAACCCAGAGGTTTTCCAGGACACCTTCCCAACCTGACATGTGTAATGAGCATTTTCCAGACCAATGTGAGGAAGGAATTGCTTGAATCCAAAGCTGGGTTGGAGATCCACCATGCTAGGGCAAGCCTGGCCTTGCTGGACAGGTGAATCAAAGGGTCCAGAGACTGGACGTGTTTGGAATGTTGAGCTGCAATGACCTCTCCATTGTGGAGTGCTGGCCCTCCAAGCCCACAACATCCAGGAACAAGCCCTCTTCACATTGAAGGGGCACCCTGCTTTTTATTAGTGGGGGGATGTCTGTTGGGTTTCTCAGCCTCCTGGGTCCAAGACGTTCCAAATGCCGGGCCCAGAGCAATGCATAGTAGCCAATGTTTGCAACCTGGAGTTTTGCCAAAATCTCCTCAAATTCAGACAGATCTTTTTGTTTCCCCTGAGAGCCTGGCTTAAGAGGGACGAAAGGGACTGTCCTTAAAAAGGAGGGAGCAGAGGATTTTGCTACTGGAGGCTTGGGCTTCTTCTGGAGGTAAAAAAGTGCTCATACCCCCTAAAAAATTTTTTATGCAAGCATCCAAGAATTGGCGACAAAAGCATTGCCCAGCATAAAACATGTGCTCCAGGTGCTTTTTCAATGAAAGCTACGTAGACCAGTTTTTCAGCCATGGGACCCATCACATGTAGACAGATAGGAGACTCATTTTGAACATTTTTAACCTCTTGCCGTCCGCCCGTAGTAAAAAAACGGACGGACGGCACTGCTGCATCTGCGGGTTGCCGTCTCCAGACGGCAATTTTTTCTGCTCGCGCGCGCCCCCTAGGGGCACGCACGGGCAGAAAAGACCCGTCCAATGCGAACACCCGGTACCGGGTGTTTCACATATAGGCGATCAGTGGGTTTAAATTTCGGTAATTTTTCCTTAATATGGAAAAAAAATAAAACCCCCAGTGGTGAATAAATACCACCAAAAGAAAGCTCTATCTGTCCCCAAAAAAGGGTATAAAATTCATTTCAGTACAGCGCTGCATGACGGAATAAATGTCAGTTAAAGTACCGCAGCGCTGAATACTGAAAAATGGCCTGGATGGGAAGGGGGGTTTAACACCGCGGATGTCAACTGGTTAAGAATGGCAGGATCTGTCAAAAAGGACCCAGGCTCCCTAGGCATAGATTTTAGCCTACAGGTAAGGTCTGACACACCACCATGGTGGCAAAAGCAGGTTGCATAGAAAGCCTTGGTAATGAAGGGATTTATCCAGGCTGGCACTAAAGTGGTCAAATAATAAATGGCAACCCTACAAACAAACAAAATAGAAACAAACATTTTCATGCAAAAAAAAAAAAGAGAGCAGGGGGAGAAAGGAATAATTATGGGCTAGTTAGGGATTACAAGAGGTTACTCAGAGGTCACATAATCAAGACCAATCATTTTCTTTGCTGCGGTGTAAATTGAGCTGTAATTAGCCGTTCCTGACAGGTGCACCCAATTATAAAGTAAATGTTTGGTTGCATTTTAACAAGTACCAACACGGTATCCAAAAGAGCTGCCAACAGCAGCTCTGCTGTGGAAATCAGGAACTCAGCTGACAAACTAATACGGAGTCCCAGCATTCCCATCCACAGATGTGCACCTGGCAAGGTGTACGTGGTACCTCCTGGGTCTTTAATTTGTTAAAGTATTACATTCAAGCTTTTTCTCAATAATTAATTCCAGATCAAAAATATATATATATTGCCCAGCAAAGTATTTCTTTACATTTCTGCCCAAGCAAGCACATCATCCTGTTTCCAAACAGCTGGCTCTAACTCTCCCAGTTTCCCTGAACCTCCTGTTGAGTAAAAGGTCACAAGAGACAACACAATCTGCAGCAACTGCCTATCTACTAGCTTGAAGAAGGGAGTAGAGAGGAGCGATTTGCTTTGTTGGGTCTGTGCGTTTGTGGAGACACACACAGCTTACTAGCCCACACATACAAGGGTGGCTCCATAGGAACCTTGCAAGGAAAAGGGGCCACCCTAAAACAGGATATTAGGGCCAGGGCTTAGGGGGGCAGCCGATTCTGCAGGAAATTAAATCTTAACAGCATTTATTTTGATTTAATCAGCATTAAAATGACTTAAAAACATTTTGACTTTAAAAAGGTCCCACTAATCCTTTTTATTTAAAATGGCTAATACAGTTCATCTTCCTTAAAGGAGAACTATGGGGTCAGTGTTTTTCCCCATAGTTCTCCTTAGGGTAACGGGAGGACACAAACTAGCGTCCTCCCGTTACCCTAAGCTCAGTATACCGCGAGCTACAGCTCGCGGTATACTGAGACGACGCAGCGGGAGCGGATCCCGACTTAGAAGACGGGATCGGCCCAGCTGCGTGAGTGACAGCTGGCTCTGCCTATCTCGAGGCAGAGCCAGCTGTACCCGCCCCCTCCCTCGTCCGTTCCGCCAGTCAGCGATGGCAGATCGGAGCGGGGAGACGGGAATCCAGCCCCTCCCCCTGTCACGGCAGAGAGCCGTGACAGGATCGAGAGGTGAGCGAACCCGGTATGTGTTCCCTCACCTCCCGATCTACTGAGCCGACCTGTGACAGTCTCATTGTCACAGGTCGGCTAGAACTATGAGGTGAGTGAAAAGCACTCACCTCATAGTTCTCCTTTAAAAAACAGACACAGACTGAGTAAAATAGCTTGTGCCCTGCCAGAACATTGTAAAAAAGGACCCCTGCTCTGTGTGAGAAAGCAGTGGTATCTCTGCAGAAGTCTTATACACTCCCTGCTGAGTAGGACCTATAGCTTCATGATCAGAAAAGCTCATGCTCCCTTCCATTTAGAGAGCTCTTGCTTTGATGCAGCAGACGGAGTGTCGAGCCAACCTAAAGATGCTGTGAGGGGTATCAGGATGAGCCAGAAGAGAATAGAAATAGAGAACAACTGTGGGGAAACTGTGCTTTACAAACTGGTAAGTGACAAAAGCTACTCTGGAAACATTTTTAGACAATATGTTATACACAAAGCATAAATTATGTGTTTTTGTGTACGTTTCATTATGCCTCTGTTGAAGCTACCTTTTGGGTCATTTGTGGTATAAACGATGCTACCTGTATATGGAATATTATGTACAAGAACAACAAGATGATTTTCTAGACAGTATGTGTATCTCCCAATTTAACAAAGGCTACTAAGACGGGGTGGAAGTTGTAACCAAGGAGTCCAGACACCAGTGGGAATTATTAGTTTGTTGTGAAATCTAGTGAACTTCCCCTTACACTTAGCAACTGTTGTGACAGTCTTACTCATGGGGCAAGGAAGGTGAAGAAGTCTTCCAAAACGTAGAAGTGCTTAGTGGCTCAAAGGCAATTAACATACGAAGCATTACAGAGAGTGAGTCTCTATGGAAAAAGTACCAAGGGACCTAATTATGTGCATACAACTGTTCCCTGACATTAGGACCAAATGACAAAATTATCAAACCTAACCATCTGTCACCGAAATCAAGAAACAGTGCCACCATGTATGTTTGTACTATAGCACCTCTCCTAAATCAACAGAAATGGAACAGTGTGGCCTACGGACATTGTGAAAGAGCTACCAAAGCATATGCAGTATTTATGCAACAGAGGTCCAAGCCACATAGAACTTCTACTCAATTTCTATAGGCAACCCTTACAACCGCTATAGCATTAATATTAGACTAGTCATATGTGCTTTGCAGTTGGAATCCTGTGACACTCACCTAAGGGTTCGTTCACACCATAGGGCAGTGCGTTCCGGTCAGAATGCTGCAAGCACTATTTTGATCGCACTAGGCTGCACTGCAGGCACAATGTCCCTTGCGATCCCGTGCGGGCGATCGCATTGCGGCCGCAAGGTGTGGCTACGGTGCCATTCACCTCAATGGCCCGCCACGCCCCCTCCAGCCCGGCAAAAAAGTGAGCCGGCCGCAATGCGGGCAGTGCATTCTGGTCCGATTCTGACCAGAACGCACTGCCCTATGATGTGAACGAACCCTAAAGTTAGCTGGTATCTGCGGATCCTTGAGCTTTTTACACTCAAGTAGGAATCTGTTATGATAAGCTCAGAATACCTGTCAGGGTTTACCGTTCTCCTCTGAGAATCCCAGCCAGGACTTCCAGGAGATCTTCTACTAATGGAAGTAACAGGGTCCAGGCCAGTACGGCTGATAATAGTAACAGATTCCGGACCAGGACTTCCAGTGTACCCTGAGGCTGGACGTGTCGTTTCTGATTCAGAGGGGTATTTAAGCACTAGCTCTGCAAGGAGCTGGTGCCGTGTCTTTTTGCCAGCTTCCTGTTTGTGAAACAGCTTATACTTCTGCTGTTTTCTCGTTGCTGACCACGACTGTCTGACCCTTTTTCGCTTGCTGCCTGCCCTGATCTTCTGCCTGGACCCGACTTTGCTCGTCTCCTGCGTTTATCCTATGATTGCTAGTTGCCGACCTTGGACTGTCCGACCACCCTCTGCTAGCTGCCTGCCTTGAACTCTGCCTGGATCTGACTACTGTCTCCTCATTGGAGCCCTCCTGTTCTTGTCCATCCCTTGGCAGGACAACCCTGGGGACCGCAACCTGGTACCAGCGAGCAGCTTAGCCCATATCCACCATCAGGAGCTCTGGTGAACACCGGCTGGTACTTAGACTCCGCCCCTCAGGGAAGCCCATGTCACGCTAACAGAATCACATAGCACATATTGACAGGGGTAAAAAAAAAACAACTAACAAATATATCAAAAAGGCAGGCAATGTAATCAGGAAACCAGCAGGTTTTGGCATATAAAAGCAGGATCTGGCATTTAACAGTTGAATGACAGGCTTGGGCTTAGTGCCAGGAAGGGTCATGGCTTAGGGCCTGTGTCAACAGGCTTTGGCTTGTGTTGATTGCATCACTTTGAATCACTGATAACATAATTTAATCAAAGACATGTGCACTGGACCTGCATCTGACCTGCATTTGGCCTGCTTCCAGCGGGTTTTGCATTCCAAGAGATGTGTATGATAAAGTGTTGCTGGCTCCCACCCTCTATAGGAAATACCTGGGCTCTCCCAACTCAGTTCACTAAGGGCATTCAGATTTTACCTGCATGTCTGACTGTTCTCTAATGTTTGTAGCCAGAATAATGAACACAGAAAACAGAGATTCTTTCACTTTTACAATCATATGATTCCTCCTACAGGTATGCAAATCAATAACTGAACATAGTTGCCATCAATTTCTTACCTTGATCTCGAAGAAATTCAGTTTCTACAGCTGCCATTTCGTACGTTCCTATTAGCTGAAGCAGTGCAGACCTGATAAATCAGTAAATAAATAATAGAGCTGAGACACATTTCATTACTGCAACTATTAATAATGTAATCATTCAATGAGTTAAATGGCTAGTCATTACATAATTGATGATTTGAAAAATGTTACAAGATTGATTACTAATGAATAGCTTACAGCATGTTTTTTTATAACCAATTACAATTATTAAGGTATAAATACATTAACATCATGCCTTCTATTTCAAATAATTACTCGAACATTTACAAGGCTGATGGTGGCATATCTGTTCTGAGCATTCAAAGATATCACTGTAAAGATCTGAACTCTGAATGTGGGGGAGATGAGTGTAATGTCAGCCACAGACACATAGATTTCTCTCGTTAAACCAGCAGGCTAAACCAGACAAAAGGCTACCGTATTTTAACTGACTGTAAAGTCATTTTCTTGGAGTTCCTTAACCACTTGATGACCGCAGTGTTTACACCCCCTTCCCGGCCAGGCCATTTTTCAGTATTCAGCGCTGTGGTACTTTGACATTTATTCCATCATGCAACGCTGGAGGGGGGATACTTTTCTTCCCCATGGTCCCTGTGTGTGTGTGTTGTAAAGTAGCCACCGATCCGAGCTCACTCCCTTGAGCTTAACTAGACTAGAACTTCAATAAAAATGAGTAAACTAAAAGTGAGATTGTAGTCCATCATGGGAGCAAGCTCGGAGCGGTGGTTACTTTACAACACACACAGGGACTATGGGGAACAAAAGTAGCCACCCTCCAGAAGGAATGACAGTGTCAGCATGAATTCAGAGATAATTTGATGATCTACAGCCGAGTGATACACAAATAAGATACATTTTTGTTAATAGTTAGTGTACTTGAATGTATTTTTAAGTTTTAGCACCTGAGTTTAGCCCATGGGCTTGAATGATAAACTGCCAAATGGTGGAGCAAGAGACAGGCTGACTCCTGCAGGTGCCCTCAGGAGTGACAAAGAGTGAGTGAATCATTTTAAAGGATGCGGCTGAGGGATAGACTCGAACAGCCTGTATCACATCCAAACAATGGAGGGAAATCTCTTTGAGATGTATCGGGGAAGGACAGAGGGATGGGAGTACAATGTCCTTGTTAAGGTGGAAGGAAGACACTACCTTTGTGAGAAAAGAGGGCCATTGGCCTCAAGACAACCGTATTCCTGTGAAGCACAAGAAAAGGGCTCTATGCATGACAAGGCTGCCAACTTGGAAACTCACAGAGATGATGGCAATAAGAAAGACCACCAAGTGAGTGAGAGGAGACATAGCAGAGAAAGGTCTAACAGGGTAAAATATTCAAAAGGACTGTTTCTGAAGAGCAGATCGAACCAGATTGAGGCCCCACACAGAGACACAGGTGGACATATACACAAAACGATGTAACCAAACCCCTGTACAATATTTTTTTTTTTTAATAAGGAATAAGATTTCTAACCTCTTGATTGAGAGCAGACTTGAAAAAGTTTGACTGCTTCCCACAGAATTTCTGTGCCTTGCACCATGCAATGTAGGCTTTCTAAGTGCAATAGTAGACTTTGCAAGAGGTGGATTTCCTAGATTGAAGGAGTGTAGGAATAATGGATTCAGATAGAACCCTATCACTTGGGACCTGGGCTTTTACAGCCATTCCACTGAAGCCAGCAGCTGCGAAGCAGTGTGGTAAACCAGTCCTTGGAAAAGATTAGGATGGTCTTGAGAAGCCACGAAGAGGTCTGCAAAATGTCTGATGAGGTTGAAGTACCACATCTGCCTGGGCCAGTTCTGTGCAATTAGCATTACCAGAATGCCCTCCATCCAGGGCCCCTAAATAATCTTGTTGGCCTTTCTTGGACTCTAATACATTCCAGCTGTTAATGGTGACCAACACTAGACTGCATTCTCAAGATGAGGCCACACCAGTGTTTTGTAAAAGGGATAAGGATGTTGATTTTATCCCTTGAAAAAAGAAAAAAAAAACTTTTTAATGCATGATAGATTGCTTGGCTACCAGCCGCTTGGTATTGCTTGCTTTTCTAAACTTGTGGTCCACTAGGACCCCCAAACCTTTTTCCTACTCCTGATTCTCCCAGTGTAACCCCTCCCAACGAGTATCCAATTAGCACCCTATTGCATAACTGCAGTTTTCAACAATAACCCTCATCTGCCAATTCTATTTTATTTTATTTAGGGTTTCCTGTCATGTTGCTACATCCTGTGTTGAACCTATTTCTCGGTGTAATTTTGTAACATCAACAAATACAGAAACTGCACTCCTATTTCTAACCTCAATGTTTTTAAAACACATTAAACACAATCAGCCCCAAAATTTACCACTAGCCATTCCCAAAGCCAGCTTTCAATCTACGTACATACAGCTGACTTCAATAAACCTATAAGTTTGTAAATGAACTGTTTGTGTAGCACAGTGCCAAATCCTTTTGCAGAACCCAGATAAATGTAATGTACTACCCTTCTTTATTCTGAACTACTGCTTACGTCCTCGGAAAATGTTGACAGATTGGGCTGAGCAGAGAAATCTTTTATAAATCCATATTATTATACAGGATTTATATAGCGCCAACAGTTTGCGCAGCGCTTTACAATATAAGGAAGACATTACAATTACAATATAATTCAAGACAAGAAGGTAAGGAGGGCCCTGCCCATGAGGGCTTACAATCTGAAAGGGAGGGAGAAGTGATACATGAGGAGGGAGCTGTGTGGGAATGAATTGTTTGAGAAAGTGATAGGTCAGTGGTTAGGTTGAGGTGGGATAGGCTTCCCTGAAGAGATGAGTCTTTAGGGAACCCCTAAAGGCAATCAAGGTGGGAGATAGAGGGACAGGTTGGGGTAAAGAGTTCCAGAGGATTGGGAGAGACTCTGGACAAGTCCTGGAGGCGAGTATGTGAGGAGTTGACAATGGAGCTGGAAAGCAGGATTGATTGTTATTTCTGCAGAAGTCTTATACACTCCCTGCTGAGTAGGACCTATAGCTTCATGATCAGAAAAGCTCATGCTCCCTTCCATTTAGAGAGCTCTTGCTTTGATGCAGCAGACGGAGTGTCGAGCCAACCTAAAGATGCTGTGAGGGGTATCAGGATGAGCCAGAAGAGAATAGAAATAGAGAACAACTGTGGGGAAACTGTGCTTTACAAACTGGTAAGTGACAAAAGCTACTCTGGAAACATTTTTAGACAATATGTTATACACAAAGCATAAATTATGTGTTTTTGTGTACGTTTCATTATGCCTCTGTTGAAGCTACCTTTTGGGTCATTTGTGGTATAAACGATGCTACCTGTATATGGAATATTATGTACAAGAACAACAAGATGATTTTCTAGACAGTATGTGTATCTCCCAATTTAACAAAGGCTACTAAGACGGGGTGGAAGTTGTAACCAAGGAGTCCAGACACCAGTGGGAATTATTAGTTTGTTGTGAAATCTAGTGAACTTCCCCTTACACTTAGCAACTGTTGTGACAGTCTTACTCATGGGGCAAGGAAGGTGAAGAAGTCTTCCAAAACGTAGAAGTGCTTAGTGGCTCAAAGGCAATTAACATACGAAGCATTACAGAGAGTGAGTCTCTATGGAAAAAGTACCAAGGGACCTAATTATGTGCATACAACTGTTCCCTGACATTAGGACCAAATGACAAAATTATCAAACCTAACCATCTGTCACCGAAATCAAGAAACAGTGCCACCATGTATGTTTGTACTATAGCACCTCTCCTAAATCAACAGAAATGGAACAGTGTGGCCTACGGACATTGTGAAAGAGCTACCAAAGCATATGCAGTATTTATGCAACAGAGGTCCAAGCCACATAGAACTTCTACTCAATTTCTATAGGCAACCCTTACAACCGCTATAGCATTAATATTAGACTAGTCATATGTGCTTTGCAGTTGGAATCCTGTGACACTCACCTAAGGGTTCGTTCACACCATAGGGCAGTGCGTTCCGGTCAGAATGCTGCAAGCACTATTTTGATCGCACTAGGCTGCACTGCAGGCACAATGTCCCTTGCGATCCCGTGCGGGCGATCGCATTGCGGCCGCAAGGTGTGGCTACGGTGCCATTCACCTCAATGGCCCGCCACGCCCCCTCCAGCCCGGCAAAAAAGTGAGCCGGCCGCAATGCGGGCAGTGCATTCTGGTCCGATTCTGACCAGAACGCACTGCCCTATGATGTGAACGAACCCTAAAGTTAGCTGGTATCTGCGGATCCTTGAGCTTTTTACACTCAAGTAGGAATCTGTTATGATAAGCTCAGAATACCTGTCAGGGTTTACCGTTCTCCTCTGAGAATCCCAGCCAGGACTTCCAGGAGATCTTCTACTAATGGAAGTAACAGGGTCCAGGCCAGTACGGCTGATAATAGTAACAGATTCCGGACCAGGACTTCCAGTGTACCCTGAGGCTGGACGTGTCGTTTCTGATTCAGAGGGGTATTTAAGCACTAGCTCTGCAAGGAGCTGGTGCCGTGTCTTTTTGCCAGCTTCCTGTTTGTGAAACAGCTTATACTTCTGCTGTTTTCTCGTTGCTGACCACGACTGTCTGACCCTTTTTCGCTTGCTGCCTGCCCTGATCTTCTGCCTGGACCCGACTTTGCTCGTCTCCTGCGTTTATCCTATGATTGCTAGTTGCCGACCTTGGACTGTCCGACCACCCTCTGCTAGCTGCCTGCCTTGAACTCTGCCTGGATCTGACTACTGTCTCCTCATTGGAGCCCTCCTGTTCTTGTCCATCCCTTGGCAGGACAACCCTGGGGACCGCAACCTGGTACCAGCGAGCAGCTTAGCCCATATCCACCATCAGGAGCTCTGGTGAACACCGGCTGGTACTTAGACTCCGCCCCTCAGGGAAGCCCATGTCACGCTAACAGAATCACATAGCACATATTGACAGGGGTAAAAAAAAAACAACTAACAAATATATCAAAAAGGCAGGCAATGTAATCAGGAAACCAGCAGGTTTTGGCATATAAAAGCAGGATC